AGCCATATAAAATTAATATTATTTTTTTAATGACATCTCTATTACTCTTTATATGATCTATCAGCGACAACCTGTTTAACATCTCTAGTCGTGACAACGCAAGAGCTGAAAGGCAAGATATATGGTGGAAGACATAATGAAAAAATTCTGAACAGCATTGCGTCATAATGTGTCATCGGTTGAATGTTGAATTAAGAATCGACATCACGGCACTCAGGACACTCCCATAAGCGCTCCATCCCCATCTTCATCAGCAAGCGAAATGTTGTAATTCCAAAGGTACCACTAACTGTCATTATTTGTCCGCATCGCCGTTCCCTTGAGTGTTTGCTAAATCCTCTAGAAACTCGTCCCAGCGCCATTCTCTTTAGACCATAATTATCTATGTGTGCCTCCGCACTGTTTACTCACTCTCAAAGGCCCCTTACAATATCTGGCTCGTCATATATCAATTTACCACCAAGTCGCGCAGAACCGGCCAGTCAATCCCGCTGCTCATTTTCCAACATTACCTGTAGATAATAACCAAAAGACAACTGACTACCCACATGCCCCCCCCCCCCAAAAAAAAAAGACAATCTACATTCTTTAGTCATGTGGTAAGCAGGAGAAAACTGGAGTATACAGTTTCATTAGGAAAGTTGGAGTGGAGGAGAGGCAAATGGAGACCAATAAAAAAGATCCTAGACATGGCACGGAGGATCATCTGTATCAGATTTGATTGAAAGTACACGATGCAAAAGGTTACGTATAAAGACTATCAACGCCACACGGAACGGACTTTAAGATGAAGAAGAAGTGGTAGAACATTTTCATTGTTTGTTTTTCAAAGAATTTAACAATGTGCATTTTTCCAATCTCTGTTTCTCACAAGTTCTCTTCTAGATTAGTTCGCAGCCTTTCTCAAGCTTCACATTTCACAGAGGATGTGTGGGTGAGTGACGTTCAAGACCAAAGGGACATCAAATCGAGCAATAAACACCCGGTTACACAAAGTGCTACCATGCATACGAGGATCACATGGGGACAGGTCCCAGAAACCCCGTTCAACCCATTTTTATATTAGGGCATTAGGCAACAAACAGGGTGGGGCTTTCAAACAACAGAAAAACTGCGTCCGACATCAGGACGCAGTGTTTTTAAAGCAACACTTGACAAATGGTTAGTATTCTTTTGTGTTTTTTGGTTAATGTCCATGTTTGACACAGGTAACCAAAATAGGAAATAAAGACTGCAGCATAAGCGCACTATTACTTGTTTCGTCGTTTTAAGGACGAAATTTTTTGCTCTTTGAAGCCCCACCCTGGCTTTAGCCAGGGGCCGCAATATAGGCAGGCCATAAATATGGCCAATTGTCTGAACGCGGTTTCTGGGACCTCTCCACGGCGATCCTCATCCACATGGTGGCACTCTGTGTCATCGGGTGTTTATCGCTTGTGTGACGTCCTAGTGGGGTAGAAAGTCAGTCAGTCAAGACTGCATTAATAATTTGTCGTTTGATTTCAGTTGTTATGGTTGGCTGGTGGAAGATTATACTGAGTTGATAGCGTCTTTTGCTTTACAGCTTGAACTATACTTTAAAAAAGAAACACATGTTAACACGACCGTACCTCTTTAGTCGCCAGCGCGAAGGCTCCACTAACCCAGACCCGGTTGTCCCTGATGTACTCCCAGGGGCTGAGCTTTGATACTTCGTTCCTGGACGCCACGGCTGACATACCAACAGTGCTGGAGTTGAAGTTTTCAGGGACTTCCAAGGAGAAGCGGTCATCTTTCGGACGGAGTTTGGGCTCTAGGAGGTTTCTACAAGAGCACAGTATTATACATTATAGTATGTCTGACTGTCTGTCTGTCTGTCTGTCTGTCTGTCTGTCTGTCTGTCTGTCTGTCTGTCTGTCTGTCTGTCTGTCTGTCTGTCTGTCTGTCTGTCTGTCTGTCTGTCTGTCTGTCTGTCTGTCTGTCTGTCTGTCTGTCTGTCTGTCTGTCTGTCTGTCTGTCTGTCTGTCTGTCTGTCTGTCTGTCTGTCTGTCTGTCTGTCTGTCTGTCTGTCTGTCTGTCTGTCTTTACAACTTTGTGCCTATTGTTTATATTTCAGTAAACCTCTATTACGACTACAAAACAAAACGGCTTGGACTACAGCTATGCGCTTAGACAAACTACGACCTAAATGATCATCTGCTTCTTTTCGTTCCCCTACCAGCGGTTTTCAGATGAGAAGTCCACCGGCCTCAGTTAGGTATGTGATGTGATGCACATCTTCGACTGCTTTTTTGGAAAAAGGGGAAAAAGGGGGGGGGGGGGCTGCCTAGTTGACCACGTTCTTAGTTCACTTGTTTTTATAGCGAGGCGCACACGCCATCTGGAGGTGACAGGTTCGATTCCCTGCACGGTAACTAGAGCTTTCTATTTTTATGTTATCTAGCGTGTTATTCTATCTTTCTACTTCTTTCCATGAGTGCCGATCAATACATTTTATGTTACTTTATTAACATATAATGTTTGTTTCACATGAGAACATTTATTGGATCTTCAGGTGTGTGTCCTGGATAAGAAGAGTATCAATCGGTTCTAGTGGCTGCCGCGATCTGAGTTTTATTTTTTTCTGAAAATCATTGATTTTTCCTTTAAAGATCAACTTGACCGCACCTCCGACATGACCGTAAGTGCCCCGAACTCCTGCTGAGTATGTCTCCAAATGTTTTTAGGCTAACAACTCCTATTCTGTTCCGGCTGATGTAGCGACGGGTGGCTCCCTCATGGTTTTCCTGTCTCGCTGCTTCAGTTGGTACACCCAGGGTATGCAGTCTTTTCAAAGAAAAATCATTTCTACGACACTGAAAGCCTCACTGTATTTACTCTCTAGTATGGAATTGATGACATCTCTCCTGTCCCTAGATGGCCCCTTCCTTATAGTTGCAATGCCAGCCATGGCGTCTGTTCCCTCGTTGCTTTTTACACCAGCATAACTGGGATACAAATAAAGGTGACTATGCGAATCGCTGCGTCCCGTATCACATGGAGTCACCGTTACTATATATACCATGCCTTGATCTTTTGTAACGCTTTGTAATGCAGGGTTGACGGGTTCGGTTCCAGCTGTGGGCCACGCGCCTTGCGTTGGTTTTGACTGTGGTATCAAGAAAGCCGACGGTCCAGGAAGCAATGGCAAACTACTAGACGTAAATTTGCCTAGAAAAACCACACAGCAGCTAGGAGCTGGTTGGTTCTGCAGCGTCCTGTAAAAGATACGCAGCTAAACTTCTGTAGCATGCTCATCAAGTCGTATTTGATTGTTTCTAATAAATGCACCTTATATCAAAATCATAAGTAGATCTAGGAAACGAGGGAACAAACTCAGACATAACCCCCAAAATCATACTGGATATAACGGAACGACTCTCCTCGCCTTTTTCTGATATGTTTATAATTTGGCTGTTCAAATCTTTGCCTGGAAATAAATAAGGTTAAAGGTTAGTTGCGTATCCTTTACAGAACATTGCAGAACTAACTCCAGTTTTGTGTGTGGCTATTGTGGTATTTCTATGAAACTTTACTTTCAACAGTTTGCCATTGCTCCCTGAACGGTCAGCTTCTCGATACAAGTGTCGAAACCAACGCAAGGCGTGCAGCTGGGATCGAAGCCGGCACCTCGGCATTACGAAGCGTGTTCGCAACGCCTAAGCCCCAGAGGAAAGAAATAAAGCCGAACGAAAAGTAATCTTTGTCTAAAGCGATGAACCCAGCAAGGTATCAGTGAAGAAACGTTGAATGTCATGGTCATAACGTGTGTACAATTGTATTTCCATCCAACTAATGTTCAGATGATCTACCCTGGCCGTATCCTTTTTCAACTGTCGCCGATCCTTGAGTCTAGGTCTCTTTCTAACCAGTAGATGACGAGACACAGGGTGCGTACACTACCAGCTTTCATTGTGAAATGGTTTCGTCAATGTGTCTGATCTCAAATGCTAATTACAGTCTGGTATAGTCTGTTTAATAGTCTGTGTATTTGTATAATAATGCAGATTTTCTAGCTGTAACTATCACTGTGCCATTCATGATTGTGTTACATGTGGAAGCCTAATCATCGCCAGCCTATTCTTCTTCTTCCTTTTCTTTTTCTTCTTTTTCTTCTTTTTCTCACACACAATCACACACACACACACACACACACACACACACACACACACACACACACACACACACACACATATACACGTGTACTTCGAAAGAATATCCCGGACGAACAGAAAAACAAACAAAGCGATTTAAAAAAAAAGTCCAACAGTCACATACCTGAACAAGCCTATATCCAACCAGGCTATATATTCAGTATATACAAGGCCTCTTTGGACCGCCATTTGTAAGACATCATATTTGGCATTCATGGCGCACGAGTACTCGGCATAGACTGTGTTTGGCGAATGTTTTGGGTATGATGCGTTCTTGAATATAGTGCTGATTTTGCCCAGGTCTCTAAAAGCGGGTATTTCATTTCTCTGAAGTTTTACTAAGACAGTTCTATCGTTTGGTTGCAGAGATCTGATTTTCCTGGGGATTTGTAGGTTCACGCCTTAACAAAACTCTTAGGAGAATTTGAAATAATTCAGAACAACATTTAGTATTACAAAACTCTGTTTCAAACAGTTTTACTTGTTCTATAAATACTGAGTGGGAGTCGCCTTGGTTTAACGACTAGATGCTCGCCTGTGGATCGAAAGGTTAAAGTATCAGGTACTGACGATACCAGGCTTTTTTTTTCAAAAATGACCTTGGATCCCAGGTGGACCTAGCATTGAATGAGAATTTGGTGGATTCCACATCACCCACCAAGTGCAGATTGGTCTGTAAAATATAGGTCTAGCCCTATATGCCCAATACGCCTGAAGGCGCGGAAAGGGTCATTTTCTTACTTTCATTCACATTGAGTTCAGATGAACTAACAGTTGACAAAGTAGCAATACTTTCTCATTAATGGTCTGTCCCCATTTCCAAAAGCAAGTTAACCTTACCACTGCCAACAGCAAAGTGAGCTAAACACAACAATTGCTAGTTTTAACTTGCATCCTATTTCATCCGGTTTCGTCCTTTTTATGATGAAATTTTTTGTTATTTGAAGCCCCACCCTGGCTTTTGCCAATGGCCACAATATAGGCAGGCCATAAATATGGCCAATTGTCTGAACGCGGTTTCTGGGACCTCTCAACGGCGATCCTCATCCACATGGTGGCACTTTGTGTCATCGGGTATTTATCGCTTGTGTTATGTCCTGGTGGGGTAGAAAGTCATTCAGTCAGTCAGTTTTAACTTGTACATCCAAAAAAGGTTTGAAGAATAACAAAACGAGTAAGTATCTAAAACAAAGGACAGTTTTTCAAAAGCGCAATGGGCGCAGAAAGCATATGATGCAAGATTCAAATAATAAAAAAAAAAACAGTCGTCACTTGAGGAATGATGAGATCAAAATCACGCCAGCCACCTTCACTTTCCAGCAGGGCCTTCTTAACGCATGGGCGCCCTGGGGTCCCACAAGCAAAGCCGCCACATGCTAATCAGTGTATCCAATGTGACATGAAATTAAAAAATATATGTTTGACGTTTGAATGTATTCATATGTAATATAGTCAAGATCTTGAAACCCAGACCTTACAACTCGAGTGAATCAGTCACAGTTACGATGCTTTGGACATGTATGCAGAATGGGAGAAATCGGTTACAATGGCATACATGGGAGATTGGTTCCAGGGCGACCCAGGATCCGCTGGGGAGACATCATCCGACAGTTTCTGATTGACAGCGGACTGGAATGTAGCAAAGCCAGAAAGATCTCTTTGGCAAACCTCTACACCACATTCTTTGTCAGCTGAAAATTTGTAGCCACTGAGATAAACAAGTAGAGAGGTAAAGAGATTGAGCCACAATTGGAAACCTAGAAACAATCTTTGTCAGGCTTTTTTTGGAAGGACGTGCTAAAATGAATAAATAAAAGAAGCAATGTTCTTTAGTAATAAGATATTAACATCCTTGTAACCACGAATCTTTTTAAGTCTAGTTTCTTTGCCCAGCTACCGAGTGGAGTGCATGGCGCTGTACTGTGAGCAGCCAGTAAGCAACCGTGGTAGATATTATGTGTCCTTCTGGTTGGCACAGGAACGGATCAAGTATAAGGTGACACGCTGGCCATGAAGCTGAAACTGCGGATACATGATTACCGTATTCTTGAGTCTTTGAAAACCTATCTCCGGGACCTATTACTAGGGACCTATATAGGGAATATAATTTCAAAGCCAGGAATGTGTGTCCAAATACAGATTACAGTGATGGGGGGGGGGGGGGGATGGAAACAACAACGAAGTGGTAGATCGAAAGAGCAGCCAGCAGGTGTACAAATCAAGGTGGAAACATTCCACCCTACTTTGCGCACTAATATTTAAACTGACAACATGGGCAACTCGAAGTCGGAGTACATCTGCCCGTGAGGCAGGGAACAGCATAACGGTTGTACACGCAAAACTCAGGTCCAGGTAAAAGCCAAAAGTCCAAGCGGACGATTAACTGGGACCTTCCGCTGGAACTCACAGCCAGTGAACGAAGAAGAAGAAGAAGAAGAAGTCTGTTTTCTGTGTTCAGTGAATTGAAAACCATTGTTATGATGAGCTAAAGAAAAAGTGTGAACTCCTGGCTAATATTTAACACAAAGACCTAAATTATAATGATTTGTTTAAACAAATTTGATTTTCTCAGGCACTACAGGGCTCTTTATAAAAATTGTCAGGCTCTCTCTACACTGCATAAAAATTATGTTCACGGGCACGATGGTAACCAACTGTACATCAAGGCATTTTTTTTTAAGATTGAAACTTAGAAAATAAAATTGCTTTTTAGAACAATGGGTCAATATCGTTTAAACTGGCTTTCACTCATGTGTATGCAAAATGGCATCCCGAAGAAAACTTACTTCAGATTAACTTTAAAGCAAATCAATTAAAAAAAAAAAATTATGCAATTTGATTCTTGTTATATCAAGAAAATCCTAGTAATTTCATCTTGTATCGTCAAGTCTATGTATATATTCTACCACCAGATTTGTTACAGTGCCAGTAAAATAAATATATGTTTAATAAAATAGAACATTTACATTTTAACAGCCCGAGTAGTCGTGGTAGGGGCCTCAGTACACTGGTTTGACTGGGCGTATATAATGCTGTTGGGACGTTTCTGCTTCCCATGACATTATCTTGAATCCATTTAAATTATAGCTGAGACCATTTTCGAAAGAAATCCTCAAGGTGATAGTTCGAATCCAAGATACGCTGAGTAAGATAAATTAAAACTGAATTTGTTTATTTTCTTTTCTTCACCTTCTGTGTTCTCTATTTGAGTGTCGATAGAGTTATAAGGTTCTGCTTCTTGTTCTTCTGGCGGCCTATAACACAGACACATCGTGCAGTTGTAGAGTTTCTCTGATCTTTGGTCTACGTTGTATGTAGTACATGTTTAGATTTATCAAACTTTCATATTCGAAAGTTTATCGCTTTTTATGAATAGTTAGTTCAGAAAGTTTTTCGTACTGCCATTTCAGGTTTTACATCCAGTTCTGATTGATCTTAAACGTTATTCTTGTACATTTAACTAAATGTACACGACTGTAGTACTATAACGAGGTTTTAGGTCAAATTACGTGTTTAAGGTGCTGAAAATGCTAAAGGTGCTAAAGGTGCTAAAGATGCAATTAACGTGCTTGCAATAGCCTGCAGTGTCTGATGCTGTATGCTGCTGCCTACCAAGTCATGTCATGTATATTTTTAAAAAAGTGGAAATAATTGAAACACATGATGCTCAACTCTTAAATTAAAAAAAAAAAAAAACAACAACAGGAAGTTGTGGGGTCAAGTCGTCGTTCTGGTGTATCAGCTGAGGGGGATTTAGGGGTAAGCGAGGGGGTCACGACACAGGAAACAATGGAATAGTATAGGCAAAGGGAGCAGGTGTGATGTCTCGGGATTATGTGCCATTGGCTCATGCTTTTAACGGAATAGTCTAATATATGGCTGGTTAAGCATGTCGTTTGTTTATTATTGTTGCTAGCATAGGTTGTTTGGGCCCCTACTAACATCAATTGGTACAGGTGCGCCTCTTTTCTGCTAAGTTATGGTTAGATATAGATAAGTGGTCAAGCTATTGGTAAATGTCTGCTAATAGTTAGTGTATTATTGTCTTTTGGATATTATAGGTCGCGGGTGCTGCGAAACTAGCTGGTGGTCTGGGTGCCACGGTGTTGCAGGTGCCACAAGTGTTGTGAGTTTAAGGAAAGGACTGATAACCCCAATAGTTTATTGAGTGGTGTCTGTGCCGCAGGTGTATTTCAGAGGGTAGCGTGCGGCGGTGTGGTTGTGCAAGGTTTTGTGGGTGCGTGGGTGTTGTGGGTGATGCAGGTTATGTGGGCGCTGTGGTTAGGACTGGTGCAACAGGTGATCCCTAAAACCCTTCAGCTGACATACCCGCATGCCGACTTGACCCCACAACTGCCGTTTTTTTTTTCTTCTTAAAAAATGTAGTATCAAATGTCTAAATTGCATTCCTTAAAAAAAAAAAAAAAAAATACAAGACACGACTAGGTAGGCAGAGACAGGCCCCATCAGGTATTTCAGGCCAGCACCTTAAGCTTCATTAGAACCTGATTTGACCTAAACCTCACTATAGTATAACTCACGACTAGCAAATAATACATGAAGTGACCTGGCTCGGGACTCAACTTAGAAGCATTGTTGGTGACTTGAAACTTGCCTTGGGACTTGGTGGCAATGACTTGGGACTTGCTGACGACGTCAAGTGTAACGACTTACTCCAGTCTCTAAGCCCTACACGAGAAATACACGTGACCTGTCCACTACAAAGATTGGCCACCGGTACTGACAGTGTAACAACTTTTACATGGTGAGGTCCTAATTTTCTCCTTGGCGTGATTCTCGTACAACATAACGAAACCCATATTTACAAACTTTTGAAACACAGCTTACTCGTAAACAAATATGGCAAGAGTTAGTGAAGTTTAGTAACCCATTGTGAAACTTTACCTGAATGTCTCCAGGTCTTCATCGTTGTCGAAGAAGGCAATCACTCTGTTGGTGAGCCAACCCCAGGTTGTCATCCATCTCTTGTAAGTTGTAGGTGTAAAATAATTGGAACCTCCCCCTTTAAGGAATCCTCCGATGTTTATGTACATAGTCACTATGGTGATCTCCTGTGGGTTCGCAGCTCTCCGAATCAGGCCGATGTAGTACATCGAGTCTATATAAAAAAGACATAGAAACACATATTTTTTAAAGGGCGTTAAGCCTTCCCTTTCGTAACACTATCGGGAAGCGTGAATCGATCATTAATTACGGTCTAGAGCAGTGGTTCTCAACCTGTCTAATGCCGCGACCCTTTAATACAGTTTCTCATGTTGTGGTGACCACAACTATATAATAGTTTTCGTTGCTACTACATAACTTCAGCGAATATGTGTTTTCCGATGGTCTTATGCGTTCCTGGTTGCTCGACCCCTAAGGGGTCGCGACCCATAGAATGAGAACAGCTGGTCTAGACAGAATGGTGCGACTGGTGGTGTCCAGAGGACTTGGCCAACACTCTAAATTTAGTTGCGCATCCTTTACAGGACGTTGCAGAACCAACCCAAACAGCCACTGGCTGTTGTGTGGTTTCTATAGGCAAGTTACATCCAGTAGTTTGCCATTGCTTTCTGGACGTTCGGCTTTCTTGATACCACTGTCCCATTGCCCGCAGCTGGGATCGAACCTGGCATCCCGGCATTACGTAGCGAAGCGTTCGCATCGACTTAGCCACAGAGCCGACTGGCCAACACTCTACTCTTACAAAAAAGGCAAGGTTGACACACAACCAGACCGTTTTCGGAATCATTAGCTTGAGAACCATTCCCTAGCTGTTGAGTTTGAGAACCAAGCACCAGTGTTGCCACTTTGGATGTTTTACACCCAGATTTAGATGTTTTCCCTTGCATTTAGATGGTGTTTTTGACGTTTAGATGGTAGATGCTTCTCTAGAAGTTTTTCATTTGGAGTAAATTTATTAAATTTAACCTAAGAAAAAGCGTGAAATTTGACCCCTTGATGCTATCTTGACAATAAAATTAGGCCTGATAAGAGTAGGAAACAGCTGTTTCACTTATCAGCTTCCTGATTGGGTTTAAAAAAAAATTGGAACAGCTAAAGCATACTAGAGTCATTTTGGATCTGAAGCTTCAACTTTATCATCCAAGCTAAGTTTATCCTGTGGATCTTGTACGGCAGACTTCATTAAAGATGAGTACATAATTCTATAGGGTAAGTCATATAAATTGCTATGTAATTTGTGACTTTTTTCATTTGGATGTTTTTTTCTAGATGTTTTCTCACGCAAATTTAGATGTTTTAAGATATTTTTTGACTCCGTTTTGGATGTTTTTTGTCAAAGAAAAGTGGCAACACTGCAAAGCACATATTAGAATGTTCCAAGTGATGTCACGTCGGTTCGTAACTTAGATCTGCTGAAATGCATACCGTTATTGATTTGCTAAAGAAAATTATTTATAATATAGCAAACATAGTCGCAGAGCTCCTTGAACTGTCAGTCCTCATAAATTCAAGCACATGATGTATTATCTGAGGTGACCCGTTCCCTTCTTCGCGGTTTTCTGTTTTCAAACAAATTTTCGAGAACATGTAAATACATTTGTGTGAATGTCAATTTTTATGAGGCAATTTCGTTCGCAGAGCTATAAAACTTTAAAGAATTATTCTAACACTGCTGTAAATTGTGCGTGCGTTAATCCCCTTTGAGCTGTTACCCGGTTAGTGTGGAACCAAGAGATAAGACTATTTTAATCTGGATGAAAAAACAACAGGACTTGAAGTTTTAACACCGTGACACTGAAGAATCTAAGTGCTGACTGTACACGAACAGAGCAAGCCTGGATACCCAGTTTAATCTCCAAGGAAGTTGTATTTAGAGAAATGATCAGGCAGCTTCTGCAGCGTCCTTTGTTACAAAAGCATTTTTGTCAGCTTTTCTTTGAATTAAACACACCAGGCTAGCTCATGGATCATGCTGTCTGGGCAATACTTGGCCACTATATACATGTAATAACTCCTCCTAGTTTTTTTTTTCGTACTGGAGAGGATGAATTTCATCCGTGGTCGTAACTAACTGTGATTACTATGTTTCTCTGTAATAAAATAAAACACTCTCGTCTTGAAAGATGACAAGGTGAGAGTGCAAGTTTTTGACCCCAATTCCGTGCCCAGTTCTTTAATTTCTACCCGGGCTTTATGAAGCAGACAAGAAACAGTTGTGTTTTTTTTTCAATGTTCCTCTAAATAGCAGAGTCATCGAGCAATAGTTCTTCTTCTTCGCCTTCAACATTCCTCATATTAATATAGCTGAGTTATGCTCGTTTTACCAATAGCTGCGATATTTGCGCATTGCAACCGATATTTCTGACTTCATCAGGCATTTATTCAGCTGGCTAACGTTCCCGGTTGGTTTCGTGGGGCATTATATAGCCTTTTTTGTATGGTGACCTCTTTATCACTTAATCTACAAGTATTGTCCCCTGGAAAACCCATCCAGAGCAATATGTATTCCCCGATACCTAAGTGGGCTTCCACAAATGCAGGGCCGCCACATGACGATGTGGTCCTGGGCTCACCAAAGGAATCTTTACATCCTGCACATGACAGCTTAACTGCACATGCTTATGTAGAGCTTCCCACTCATCTCTGATAAAACTTGAGTCTTTATAGACACTCATCTCTGATACAACGAAGAGAGGCTGGCCGAGTTGTGACAACGTCGGGTGATTGTGCAGGAGATCCAAGTTCGATCCCAAGTAAGTTAATAGAGATTTTTCTGTCGGTGGCAAAATTAAATATCCCAACCGGCACAGTCTGTGGCGACAACACTTCAAGCCTTGCGCTCCTAAATCCTCAGGCTCGCGAATCCATGTCTAATCACCTTAAAAAGTGATAAAACAGACAGCAGTGACATTTTTTTAATAGAAACTGACAACTGACTGACGGACATTTGAATCTAATCATAAGTTTAGTAGGGCTTTCGTTCTACAGACGTTTGAACCTATCTAGAAGTTTAGTGGGGCTTTCCTTCTACAGACGTTTGAATCTAATCAGAAGTTTAGTGGGGCTTTCCTTCTACAGACGTTTGAACCTATTCAGGTCTAGTTGGGGCTTTCGTTCTACAGACGTTTGAACCTATTCAGGTCTAGTGGGGGCTTTCGTTCTACAGACGTTTGAACCTATTCAGGTCTAGTGGGGGCTTTCGTTCTACAGACGTTTGAACCTATTCAGGTCTAGTGGGGGCTTTCGTTCTACAGACGTTTGAACCTATTCAGGTCTAGTGGGGGCTTTCGTTCTACAGACGTTTGAACCTATTCAGGTCTAGTGGGGGCTTTCGTTCTACAGACGTTTGAACCTATTCAGGTCTAGTGGGGGCTTTCGTTCTACAGACGTTTGAACCAAGTTTGTCATAGAGTAGGATACTGTGCCAGCGGGCTTCACTCATTTTCAGAATGTTTTTATATGGACATTTTTACCGATGCACTGGGGTTTGGCTGATGAGAGCCAGGGGATTTTCTAGACACTGCATCTCTGTTGGCCATCAGCTCAAAGATCCCCTGCCAGCTCGGTTTAAGCTAATAGCCATTATCCGTGGAGCACAAAGTGGACATGTGGCAGAAGTCTTGCATGAGCACAGAGTCTGCTGGCGCCTAAGGTAAGATATGGAGTAGCTCCTAATAGACATCCCAACTGCCCTAACTTTCCCTTATGCTTGTGACTGAATCCCTACTGTATTGGTCCTATATAGCTTTCATTAATGTAGGCTGTTGGAGACATGCTAGTGACGACAGTTACTAATGTCCTTCATGTAAAAGATGGGAAGTCTTGGCTCTTGTACGCTGTCCTGAGAAACTCTCTCCTCTTTTATACGGACTGAACAGCTAAATAATCCGTATAGCCTAATAGGTTATCTATTTAAATTGCATCGAATCGTTGGTACAAACAGATTTTTATTCTAAAATACATGTTGAGAGTAACTGCTGCTTGTAGAAGTTCCAGCTCAGACGACACTTCCACTCAGTGTCGAAGTTCGAAAGAAAAAAAGGGTTGGGGGAGAGGGGGGGGGGGGGTTTAGGCACCTAAAGAATAACATAGTCATTAATGTTAACGCGGCGGAGTGGTAATAACATGATTTCTCTAATATTTTAAATATTAAATGGTTACTGCAATTTGAAAATGTTAGACAACATTAGGAAAAGTACTAGCAAATTATCAAAATGTTTTCTCTCTCATTTTGTTTTTTCTATCCCCACCCCCTCTCCCTCTTTCTTTCTCTGCCAGTGTCTTATTTTAATTTAATGCCTCCCAACTGCACCAAAGTTTACCCCTCCCTAGACTAGACATTCCACCGCCCCACCAACTGAGATCACACCCACAGTAGCGCCCATTTTTGGAAGCACTGATTAGGACGGTTTTCAACCGGCAGCCAACACGACAGGACGGACTGTTAATCAGGTTCCAATGCAACTTGTACTGTACCACCATTGTGAAAAACTCTTCTATGACTGCTGAGGTCAATTCATGATGCATTCATTCTTCCATGTGAGTTACACAATTCCACTGCGGGAGAAAAAAAAAAAAAGAATAGATCCACTGCCTCCCTAACAAGTATGCAGTAAGAGTCGACTAATTATGCGGTGTCCTGCAAAGTCGAAATGCATCAGTCTGAGAGACAAGAAACTAGAAGTCAGCATGCCAAAAATCATGGACTGTAAAACAGATGTAGACGCATAACTCAAGTTCTGCAACAAGCTAAAGTCAATAATGGATTATCAGCCAGAATTGTCCACTGGTGTTTACAGTCTGTGAAATCGAAGAAAAAGAAAAAGAGTCGTTCATTTATTTGTTAATTCATTGACGAAGATAAAAATTAAATACTACTATAAAAACAACAAACAACTACTTACCCCAAACATATTTGCTGGTTGGTATAAACAAGATGACAATTAGGGCAGCCGTGAAGATGATGTAACGTCCCCGTGGGCGTTTCATGTTGTGAATGCAAGCTAACAGATCGCGACTCTCTTCCAGTTGCCTGAGATATCACATGTTTGTGAGTCCGAAACAAAATAGATATGACATTAATAAATGTCTATCTACCAACAGCAATACGAGAATACAGATAACCGAAAACGAGTTGACGTTTTTTAAT